TTTTACATACAGGCCTGCGCATTCCTAAATGCCCTCTCTCTCTCTCTCTCTCGCTCTCGCTCTCTCAATCCTAAAACCCTAAGCCGACTCATGAGTGGGACTGCCAGCTGTTAGGATAAAAGGCCAGCAACTTCGTGTAGATCATGAGGACAGGGCTTTGGCATGCCACCAAAGTCTCTTGTTCTGGGCATCCTACTCCCCAGCAAAGCTCAAGTGCACACAATGACTCCCGATCTTAACTCGTGAGTGTCCGGGAGAAGTGAAAGAGCCCTGCACTATTCAAGTACGACCGCCACGTTCAAAAAGGGCCAAAAAACAAAGGAGATTTCCATGGAGCTCAGAAAGCTGCTGTAGGATGTTGAAAGCTACGAAAAACCGATAAATTCCACACACATCCGTCTCAGTAGTCGCACGGTCGAGGTGCAAGGCTTTCAAGAAGGAGACCATCGTCAGAGGACCTGAAAAGGAACCATGCGATGGAACTTGTTGTGGGGTTTGGGGGGGGGTAAAGTAGGGCTTAGGCAAGCCGTCCAGAATTTGTCTGAAACGTGATTTATGCGAAACAAAACCCTAACTCCTGCCAGGAGCTTTAAAAAACAAGCCAGCTGTTGAGCCCGATGGTGCTTTGACACCGAAGCGCAAATGGAAGCTCGCTGTCGCCCAGCGTTGGTGAGGACCGGTTTGGGCTCCGGCACAATGCCTGGGGCATAGTACAACAGGAACTTAGTGCACAATCAGCAGTCTCGAATGAAACTTTCGTCTTGCCAAACGATGTCGCATCAGTAGATGCTACAAGTACATGTCAGATCAACATCCACTGAACATGCAAACGACTAGGCGCGCACAAACACGTGCTTCTACACGGATGTACAGGCTCCTGTATCACACGCACATATACAATAAGTATATAACAGATTTACACAGACACCACAGGTTCACAAGCAAGCAAGCATGCAATCACACCCAAACAAACGAACGAACAGCGAGACAACCAGACAAACACACTTACCCTTATACACGCAGACATAACATGCGCCCATTTGTCCATCCAACCATCCATGCATGCATGTATGTTTCTAAATACATCGCCGCAAGCAGATGAATGCATGCCTGCACGCAAACATGCATGTCTGCAACGAAACTTGCATTCCGCTCCATCGTGTACATATGCCGAAGTGTGCAAAGGAACATTGAGCACCAAAGTACAAAACTATGGAATCACCCAAATCCTATCTCGGACCGGGCATATTCACCCTGTTGGCATCACACATCATCATACGACCATCCAAACATATAGGGATGTATCTCGGAATCCAGAAATAGGGCAGACTAATTGCCAACCTGCTCAGACATATCGAGCTGCAGCGTGCGAAGACTGCCGTGGTCACATTAGACTACACTGCTTCGCAAATCCGGGCGCGGGGGAATCTTTCCAAAACAGCTGCCGAACGAAGTGGTCCTATCAACCCCGGGCCCATGCCGGCAGGGCACGTTTCAAGATCAAAGCTTGGCGCAAAAGGCGGAGAGACTGCACCGAACCTGCACAGGCAGGGCTCAAGGAAGCGCCGTGGCACAGCGTGAAGGATGAGCGCAAGTGCTAGCAGTCGTGTAGCAAGTATCGGGTAAATAACAGCTTCGGAAGGTATGTGCGTCGATTTACACGGACATAGCAGTCATACGAGTACGGTCATCGACTGGCATTGTGACAATGATCCTGCATATGTCAGCTGCACTGTCCACGCCCTCATTCTGATAAGACCGACAGTAGATCTGGATCATATGAGCTCTGCACGCATCGGCTCGGACATATTGAGGGTCGTCTTTTCGAGCTTACGGAGTGGAGTCTTGTGAAGCCTTCTGATATCGGGACTCGCTGTAGGAGCATCTCACTACCAGATCTACCCCTTATGCGGGGTCAAACTTACCCAGAAACCGAGGACACCCGGAACTCCAGACCCAGCTTCCACTTGAGATGGCTCCTTCTTTCTCAGGTTTAGGCTGTAGGGTTTTGGGGTTAAGGGGGCTGTAAGACTTTAAATGGATTGCAGGGCCTAGATGAGCCCCAACGTACTTACACCATGACCGCACGCATGTGCACATAGGATTTGGGCCATCGAGGGCTACTTCCAGCGGCAGTAATCGGCAGTATAGAACCTCACCCAAAACTGGTCAGCAGACGCCAGCCGCCCTGCACAAACTTGCTGCCGGCCTTCCCAGCCTTTGCGTGCGAAAGGAAGTTCAGCGTCTCTCGGTCCGGGTTCGGGGTTACAAGGACCCTCCTGAATCCCTGCACCCTAAATCTTCCCTACTGGTATTCGCTGGGCGATGGCTCTGATATTCTACGGAAGAGATAAGGACAAGTGTATCTAAAGTTCGAAGCATACTATCATTGAACTGAGCCAGCGCATAACAGCTATATAGGTATAAATGAATGTATAAATGCATGTACAGTGAATCTGGGTCCTACTTACAAGAGCTCTCGGCAAAAGCCCCCAGGATTTCGACCCCTGGCTGCTCCTCCGCCTTTTTGGGAACTCCGGGTGTACCCAAAATTAGAGTTCCAGGGTTTAGGGTTTCAGGCTCTGCCTTTTTGGGGACTTCGGGTGTACGCAAAATTAGAGTTCCAGGGTTTAGGGTTTTCAGGGGGTGGGGGCGGGAAGTTCAGGAGCAGAAGCTCGGGATATTGGGTTTGGGGATGTTTGGGGTTTAGAGCCCAGGGTGCGGAGTTGTGGCCTTCAGAGTCTAGCAACTACGATCTGCTTGTGGGGCTGTTATCGCAGACAGGGCGGGTTTGCAGCTTCAACATGGAACCTTAAGCCCAACAGACTCAAGCAGGATCTCAGGTGACCGCAGAAAGCTAGGCAAACGTAGGCCTTGCTCATTCAGACCGGCAAAGACCATCCGGAGAATCTACCAGTCAAGTGAACTAGTTTGCAGCTTCCAGTCTCGTCCGTTCCTGTGCCGAACACGAGGTCAAAGTTTCAGGTTTTAGCGTTGAGCGACAAGGCTCGTGTAATTTGCAGCTTCATGGATCCGCTCCCCGAACTGCGTTGAGTTGAAGGTTTCGGTATCAGCTTCTGCACTAGGGACGAAGGAAGCGACTGATAGCCGTGGCTGTCCTCAAACCAAGCCCTGCTTGAAAGAAACTCTCATCCAAGAGCACGGCCGAACTGCGTGAGGAAGTCCTCGAGCGCCGACTTATCTGCGAAGCTTCCTTTCCTTAGTCATGGGTCGACATAACTGCAGCAGCCCTGGTTACATCCTTATCTGAGGCCTCAAACCCGAAATCCAAAGGGGCAGAACCTAAGACAGGCCAGGCTTCATTTCTGACGCCACTCGCTCGACGTACTCCTGCATTTCGTTCGGATCCTGCGCGACAGAGAAAAACATCGTCTGCTCTGCTGACAAGATACGAGCCTGAGCAATTGAGGAGGTTTGCGGACGTAGTGCAGGATCGCGCTATGCGGATTCTAGAGTTCGTCGCATTGAGCTTTCAAGCTCCTGCATTCCCTCACATCAGCATGCACATGCACGGCTCCTGCAGCAGGACCACTTCGTGGTATCCTGGTGGAGCATCGGGTAGCTTCAGGCATAGACCATAATTACCTGTAATAGGTACAGTAGTCATCATCTGAATCGCTAGCTGCTAGCTAGAAGTGTTCGTCTAACTCGAGTAGCAGTCGCACGACTATTGCTGCTGATGCTGCTGCAACTCCCCCTCCTCGTGGTCCTCCTCCTCCTCCTCCTCCTGCTCCTGCTCCTCCTTATCCTGCTCCTGCTCCTGGTCCTACAACTGCTGCTACTCCTGCTCCTGACTCTGACCCCTACTCCTTCTCCTACCACTACCCCTAGTACTAGTACTACTACTAGTATGCAAGCTACTACCACTACCAGTACGACGACGACCACCACCTCCTCCTGCTGCTGCTGCTGCTGCTGCTCTGCAACAACAACAACAACAAATACGGCGACGACGACCATGCTAAGAACATTGCTTGAACATGTCGATTACACTAAGGGACCACCCTTGTCACACTAGTACCAAAACGAAGGAACCACGGGAATCAGTAAAAATGATAACACGAGTCAGAGCACCCATGGTTGCAGTAGTATCAGCAACCATGGGAAGCCAAAAAAGAACGCTACAAAACCTATGTGTAGATATGTCTATAGTCGTGATGCAGGCCAGGTTGCCCTCTTCGCTAAGGGGCGCTGACTGGCCGTTCACTTCCTGACCTCCGCAGGGCAGAGCGGCTACTTCAAGGACTGTAAGTAAACGACAGTTAGGTGCAGCTTAAACTATACTTTCCATCCTTTTCAAAAGTACTTATCCATTTAAAGTCATTGGCAACCATGCAAATCCTGCAAAATTGGGTTCTTCACTGCCATCGACCCCACGAATGAGAAAGCGACCTGAATTTGCTCTAGGCATTGTATCACTGGTTCGTAAATGATATCAACTTCCTGACTCCTACCGGTGCAGGAAAATTGTTCTACTGACCCAGATGAATGAGTTTCCCAGAGACAACTCGTTGGTCCAGAACTGTCGGAAATAGCTATGTCCTTGTCGCCCTCTCCGCAAGTTGCAACATCCCAGCCTTCATCCAGCTTCAAAGGGCGTCCGGGGCCCACTTTTTCTGCCTGCATGCGGACGGTAGAATGTATGGGTGAAGCCATCCGGTGGATCACATTTGGCAGCCTAGCGACATGTACAAAGCAATGGCAGTCCATTTTAGGAGCCACAATCGATGGACAACGGGTCTAGTGCGTCCTGTATATTCGGCAGCTAAATCTAGCTCCTCCTACAGAATCTAAAGGCTGTGCCCACTCAGATCTCCACCGTCTCACGGCATGGGTCAAGTAGCGGAGTCAACTAGCTGCTCTTGGATACCCTAGCATCACCACAACCGTGCTGCACTATTAATAACTACACCAGTGCAAGGCACAATGATATGTTCAAGTGGTGCGCTCAAATCAAGAGCCATGCGAAGTTAGGCCCGTTAGGTCTCAGAGATAGACTTACCCTTGTGCACCTCGTACATCTCCTTCCGGTGCGTCACGAGGTCCTCACAAGCTCCGATAGTTGTTCCACGAGGCCACGAGACTTGGCTTCTTGCATCCCATGCCTGCTGCTACTGCGACAACGACGAATCCAAGCCCCCGAATATCAAACGGGGGGCGGCCCCCCCAATTTTGCTCCTGCTCTGGCCGCCGACTATGATTTAAAAGGTGGGTATGCTTTGAGGTGGATTTTCCGGCGAGCTTGTTTCATTGGGGTGGTGTTCGCTAAATGGGCGAAGAGACTGCTAGCAAACTCGTTGAACGTTCGTGTAACACTCTGACCGAAGATCCAGGAAGTCCCCCAGGCCCTCAACCCGAAACTCTCGTCCCCAAAAGTTCCTGCAGCACCAGTCGGCGATCTCGATCCGCTTTGGAACGAACCGGCCAATCGAAAGCACACCACGTCAAGGGCCTCGGGCTTTTCATTCTTGGTTGCAATCACCAATCTCATTCCCCGATATTTGTATCAACATCGTTTCGTCAAGCGTGACCAGCTGAAGAAGTTTTGGCAAGGTCTGACTCCTGGGTGACAGGGTGCGTTGGTTTTTCATAGGCTTCATGAAGCTTCGCTATGGTTTGCCGAAGTGCAGGGGATTTCTAGGGTTGCCTCGAAGGTAGAAACTCTCGGGTTTTGTGATTGGCAGGTAGGGGGCTCGAAGGGCTTAGGATTAGGGCTTTAGGGGTCTGGTTTGGGTAGGATTGAAGAAGTGGTTGCTAGGCGGCTCACGCTTGACATTGCGGCTCCGCAGGACATGGGAGTGTCAGCAGAGGAGGGACCCCGACATAGTACCCAAGCCGAAGCAACAGCCGGCCCTTTCCCTTCTACACTCCCTGCAGTTTGCAGGTTTCTCTCTGTTTTTTGAGTCCCCAAGCCTGGTAACTTAATAAGACCGAGGTGGGAAGCCGACATAGCTCAGGATCTCAAGCTACCAACTTCAGAGAATTCCCTTCTGCACTGCGCGGTGGGCTGGGCTTTCAAGCGAACAGGCCGTTCAAGGCCTTCCAAACCCAAGAAGGCTGATATTAGCTGCCGGAGATCCTGCATGACCCGTGCGGAGTACAGAAGGACAACAACCGAAAATGAGAACTGCCAACGTGTTCTTGTTCACTCTTCAATATTTTAGGTCTTAGGTTTTCGGGTGGATCCTGGAGATCACAAGCTCGCAATCGTAAGGGCAAACTTGCCAAGCCATCTCAAGGATCCTCCTCCAAAGCTTCGTGGCAAAAGAGCACATAGGACACTTAGTTCGACTCAGCTGCCTTAACGCCTCCTGCAACATTGCACATACCTTCTTTAGCTTTCCTTGTCCTGGCCAAATCCCCATAATAACAATAATATTGCTAGTTTGAAACTGTTGTTACTCTCAGTATTAAGAGCTATCAGCATCACAGCCATCCCCGCCACTGCTCCAATCCTGGCAGTGTAACCGAAAGCTGCCGCCCCAAATGCCTAAACCGCGAACCGGAACTCTTGCTTCTAATTCCCGTCCTCAGGCCCCCTGAACCCTAACCCCTTAACCCTAAGCCCCATACCCTAAAACCCTAAACCCTTAACCCTAAGCCCATATCCGAAATCCTTGCCCTGCAACCCCGAAAGTGCAGCCGAAGCTCGGGAGAACCTCACGAGCTTGGCTTCCTGGCAGCTGCCAACAACAAGGTCCGCTATGAAGCGGCGCTGGAGGGTAATGTAGGGGCCTTGATAGTTAGAATAGGGTTCTGGGCTCCTTTACAGTATTATTATAATAAGGAACCCTAACAGTAAAAATTTGTAATTATTTAGGCTTCTATATTGGCAGGAATCGAAGAGTCCGGAGGCTCACTGGGTCGTCATGTCTTGGGGAAAGCGCTGCACATCGGGACATCGCGGCCCAAGATGCCAGTACAGTAGTCGAACAACACAGATGACTTACGTCATTGATGTAAAATATGATTATGGTCTATAGGGTTTCAGGATTCGGGGCTTCCGACGCTCACCAGATCGAATGAACCACGATACAATCAGTGCGTGAACATACTCGAAATGAAGGTTCTTTTGATTCTACTGGAAGGGACGGCGAGTGTCCTCGGAAGGTCACCGCCAGGGTCCGCGTGGGCGACCAGTTCTCCACACGGTATGGTGGTGGCTCGTCCTAGGTGGCATGGGGTTTGCAGAAAACACAGCGTGAGATTACCAGGCCTTTCGATGAGGTGTCTTGCAAGCTGTTCCTTGAAATTTAGGATATTTGATTCCGCGGCCAATCCAGCGACAGTTCTTTTAGAGAAGCTTGCTGACCAACATCAGAGTACCAGCTGCTTGCTTCCTTTTAACCTTGAGCTCGCTGCCAGCATCGAGACCCCGGACTCGGAACGCCACATTCAGGTCTATTTACTACTCCGATAGCTGCCATGACGGCAGCAAGAAACCCAGCATTCTGTCAGTACTCCTTGTCGTGCTGCATTATTCTGGTCTAGCTGACTAGTCACTAGTCGTCTGAGATGTGCAAAAGTTGGCATCACAAGGGACAATGGTGCCTAAAATTGAATCCCTCTACTATACACTGCTCGCATGGGCCTCTGTGCAGCCCAAGCACACTGAGCATCATGAAGGCTGTGCTGTTCAAGACCTTCGAGTCAGCATGGCAGATTTTAGGACCAGAAGCCTCATAGGAATACCATGCAATACTAAAGTATATTACATAGTAGCTTAACTATCACTGGGTGTTCAGACAAAACGCATACTAGTACAATACAACAGCGCTAGGACGGACTAACTACTGCGACGACGATCATTTTTACAAACACATTGTCACACTGAAAAAGTTGATGTGCACATGTTTTTCGAGGGGCACAGTCTGAGATTGGTGCTTAAGGTTCGGCTGCATGAGAGCACAGTGTCTTGCTTAGGGCGCAGGGGTTTCGGGTTTATGGCTTTAGAGGTGACAGTGGATGAGCTGGAGGAAGCCGCTCGACTTCAATTGAAGTGCAAGTTAATTAGGAATAACAGAACTACTAGCCGACAAGGGGTGAGAACATGCAAGGACACAGCAACTTCGTAGAAACATCCTTGAGTCTGTTTACGTCGTCTGGATGAAACGGTTTGTCCGATTTGCGGGTCTTACTAGCATATTACTGAGCAATGCTTCTTCTTCTTCTTCTTGTTATCCTTGGATTTTGACCCTAAACCCTAAACCCTAAACCCTAAATTCTATAAACCTTACTGTCTGCTCTTATGAAGCGGCTCGAGCGTTTTCGCGCCTGCACAGAGCAGCGGAGGAAATTCACCTGGCAAAATGAAAAGCTCGCACGGGCGTCGGGGGTCTAGGCTTCTGGGGTTAAGTGTTAGGGTTTTGAGGGTTTTCGACTCTCACTTGCAAAGTTGACTGTGTCTGGGTGGCGGGGGAGGGAAACCTCGGTCAGTTCTCGCGCTGGAACCCCTTGCCAGGCTGAGCCACTGTCTTGCAAAGGTCCATTCCGGACTGAAATGGGTGTCTGGGCCAACAGCAAGCGGAGATAGCCCTGTACTGCACGTCTGAAAGGTCGAATGCCTTCCTCACCTTTTCGCTCTAGCGTCTAGTGGGTCGACAGTCGCTGCCGCTTCGCTCCCTCCGGGTAGCAGAGGATGAAGCGGACGGAATTCTGGCTCCAGCATAGCTTGAGATCATCCGGCGCATGGCTCGAGGAGAGCCAAACCAGTATCAGCACCCCTCTCATGCCGGGCTGCACCTCTTTCTTTGCATCTGCAAGAAGACCTTTTAACACATGCTCAAGTTCAAGGCCTCCGACCCCTTGAGTGACTTCCTTCAAGTGCCACTGCAGCAGCGCCGCCGCACACCGGAGCAAAGGCATGTGCAGCTCTCCCTCAACTTCCACGACGCGGAACCTGCAAGACAACCGCAGCTGCACATGCATCATCCTCACGACATCATCTCGTTCCAATGGCTCACCTTGCTTCATCTCTTTATCTTTCTTGACGGCCTCTTCGCATTTCTCCGCCCACTGCCCAAGTCTCGATTTGTTGATGGGGTGCGGCGCACACAACTCTTTCCATGGCAGGCCGGTGAACCAGTCAGCGTTCAAGGATGCAATCATAAGCATGGAACGCTGACTCCTGCCGTCAACGTCACTCAACCTCAGCGAGTTTTGCAAGTTTCGAGGGAACATCTCCGGAAAGCTGCCGTCGACAGTGAACAAATCCATCCCTCTAACGGCTGCGCGCTCATTCCAGCACAGGAGTATGACAGGAGGAGGCCTTGGAGGCACCTTTTGCGTGACGGAGTCCTTTGCTAGCTGCAGCCAGTGCTGGCACAGGTGATGCTTCAGGGTCTTTGTCCCAGGATCGAAGTTTTGGAGAAGTTCAAGGTGGAAGTGGTTCCACTTCTCTGCCATCGAAGTGAGACGCCCAAAGATCTGCATGAACTCCCTGACCATGCCTTCGGGCACCTCTGGGCCGTGTTTGTCTGACTGCAGAAGATCTAGCACCTCACCAGCTCTGACCTCGGGCTTGCGCGCAAAAGCCTTCAAAGTCCACTTAACATGGAAGCCTTCCGATCTTGGATTGAAGGCTTCGGCTGTCATGGCTTTCAGAAACCTGCGGCAATCTCCGAAGTCATCGTAGAATGTCAGCACAAGCGACTCGCCGTTGTACTCCTTCAGATCGCAAGACTTCTCGATCGGATTGGAAGGGTCACGCTGGGAAAAGGCACTGACTATGTTCAATCGCAGGCCCAGCGCACTCGCCACGGCGACTTCCAGGTCCTTCAGCATGGCATCCGAGGCCAGAGGTTGTCGGAGGCTGAAAAGCCTATCTCCACTGAGCAGTCCGAAATCAACCGTGCTCCCTTTCTCGTCAGTTGTGATGAAGGCCTGAATGGGCGTGCCTGCGAACCTTGCCACCATCCTTGAGGCAGCCCTGGAGAGATCCGCGGCCTCCGCCAAGTCCTGCCCAGGTTGACGGTAGCCGGCGCCCTGGCCCTCACCGGTGAAACCAGCGTCGCCTCCAGCCTCGACGCTCAGCGGGAACTGCGCTTTTCCCGGATTCCTCTGTAGCTGGCCAGGAGCATCCTGTGGCAGGCTACGTCCTTGGGCGTCTCGGACGACAGTGCCGGCCACACTGCAGGCGTCGCGGAGGGTGTCTGGCCAGCTGTCGTCGAACGGGATCGACACAGGCTGCATGGCTTTGCGGCTTTTCCCTCGCTGTCCAAGAGGAACTTAAGCCAAACTGAGTTTTGCAGGCTTCGGGGTTGAAACGGATTGGGGTATAGATCAAGCCTCGGCCTTGCAAAAAAGGTGCCTTCTTGGGACTTCTGCACTCGCCGGATGAAGCCACAAACCTTTCACCCTAAACCCTAAACCCTAAACCCCCACCCCACCCCCCCCCAAAAAAAAAAAAATCCTTCCCAAAGCGAAACGCGCCCAGCGCACCGAGGGCTCGTCTGCATCAGTCCCGGATCGCAGGGAAATCACCGACTCGCAGGTGGAGTTCAGGCTAAGCCAGCCTTATATCTCAAGACGAGCTTAGGGTTCTGGTCGACCGAACACTGGGAAGCAAGTGATGGAGCCTGACCTCGTAAAATGCTGCACAGGGAAGGGAACCACTTGCTACTTGTTCAGTGCCTTTGCCACACAAACTGGCGATGAGATTGGTTCCGTGGCGGAGTAAGATTTGTAAAGGTGCTCGTTGTTGACCTCCTTCGGGATAGAACTTTGCTCATGCTACCTGGGACTCTGGCGATGACTAGGTTCCCAAAGCAACATCCCCAGTACTGCTGCGGTTATTGTCGATCGGCCACCATTCGGTGGAGATTGCTGCTGTCACTTCGATTGTGCCCTGTTTGTGTAAAAATGGATGATCCTTCTACCTGCATCTACTCGTCCTCCTGCTCCTGCACTACCACTTCTGCTGCTACTACTACTGCTACTTCTTCTTCTTCTACTACTACTACTACTGCTACTGCTACCAGCTGCTGCTGCTAGTACTACTGCCACCACCACGGCCATAACCACGACCACGACGACTACGACGACGGCGACTTCGACTTCGACTTCGACTTCGACTTCGACTTCGACTTCGACTTCGACTTCGACTTCTACTACTTCTACTTCTACTTCTACTTCTACTTCTACTTCTACTTCTACTTCTACTTCTACTACTACTACAACAACTACTACTACTACAACTACAACTACAACTACAACTGCAACTGCAACTACTACTACTACTACTACTACTACTACTACTACTACTACTTTGTATACGGTTGGATCGTTTACTCTACGGCCCCTGGTACTTCACATGCTGTTTAGGCTCAGTTTAGGTCCTTATTCATGAGAGTAGATTTTTATATATGGTTTGATTGTTTAGTGTAGGGTTTGGGGTTTAGGGTTTTGTACAGGGTTTGACTGTTTTTTCCCTCTCGCATGGCAGACGGGAAAAACAGTCAAATCCTATATAAAACGATTTTGCAACAGGCTTTCCACTTCTATATATAAACCCTTTTCAGCACGGATATATACCCTAAATCCTAAACCTACACTTAACATTAACTGGCTGTTTAATGTTTAAGGTCTTGGGTTTAAGGAACACTTGCACACTTTGCAGCTTCGGAGCGGCTCCACGGGAGGCCCGCTGCCTATCGAAAGCAGAAGCCACACAACACGCTCATGGGCGGTTGTCAACATGAAGGTCCTGTTTTGGGCCCCCCCAAACTATGGGGCTAAGGAGTAACTAGAAGTAGTAGCATCATACGAGGTTACTCATACTTTCGATATCCACCCACATGGCAACGACAAATCATGCACAAAACGAGTCAGTAAGTACCATGTGCACAAACGGCACGGGTGTGTATGGCATACCTGCGCTTATTTCTTACCGTCGATGCCGGAAGGGATCTGGTAGTGGTGCCGCCCCCACCACCCAATCGTAGGGTTCAGGATAGTCATCATCCTCTCCAAAGCATCGACATGCCCAACCCTCTGAAGTGGCTCCGGTATGTTCAATGTGATTGCAGCTGGGGGCTTCACTACTTTTGGGTTTGAAGTCCAGTCGGAGTCACTAGAATGTCAGGGCTTCGGCTTCAAATCCTCAAAGTTGTAGGATTCAATGGTGTAAGTTTACAGTAGGTGTTGACGGGACAAGGGGTGTCGGCGCTCACACTCGAACAATCCAGGCAAGGCATGTGGTTCGAGGTCTGTCGGGTGAGACACTAGGAATGGGACGGACCACATATACGCAATGATCCTAGAGTTCTACAACCTGCTAATTGCAGGTAAGGGGTTTAGGGTTGTGAGGTCTGCTCTGTGGCACCCTCCTCTCAACGCCTCCTGCAACAATAAGACAATCCACCCTCTTCTCCTTGCCTGCCCTTGCTCTCCAAAGTCCCCGAAGACCCCAATAGTGCCCCCTGGGCCTCTCCGAGTGCAGCCATCTCGACGCCAGGATCCTCGCTCTTGCCTTGCATAGCGTTGAGATCGGTCTCTGGATAGCCCACAAATCTCGCTCGCGCCAAATTCTTAGTAGAATGACTTTGTCATAGCCACATGTGAGTATCAACTGAAGGCTCTTGCTGCTGCCACCTCGGTCAGGTGATGCAGTTCTTGAGCTTATCGCCCCCCAAGTTGTCTTGGAAGAGCGAATAGCATCCATGGAGCACGGGCAGACTGCAGCCAACAACACTTGTGAAGAATATCGATAGTCTTGACTCATGACTTTCGTCAAAACAAGCGCTTTGGTGACGGAAGGTTGGGCGCTTGGACACAAACAAAGGAGCCCTACAGCCATGCTGGCCTTACCAATCCGAGGCGCTGCGGGCCAGGAACACGACACAGCCAACGCCAGCGCCGTTCAGGTTCAAGACACCAGCCTAGAATGGGGTTTTGGGCTATTCTACTATACCTATAATAGTAAGAAACCAGCCTGCAACAAGCAGCAAGGGCCTTGGGGCATTCTACCCTACGCCCCCTCTCTCTGTCTCTCTGTCTGTTGTGTGTCTGGGTGTTTGTACGAATTAAGCATAGCTGGAGGTCTGAGCCGCCCAAGCTGCAGTTATGGTGGCCGCCCCCCAAGGTGCAAACTGGACCCCCAATTACACATCCCGGTGTAAACACTGGTGTAAAGGTCTCACGAAGCAGCATGCAGCAAAGTCCCCCCGACTGATGCAATAGAAGGGAACATATCGATTAAACACAGCTTCAAGGTCCAGAGAAGCCGCGCCACAGGTGAACCCGGCCAGTGCTGCCACTAATATCATAGATGATAATATCGGGTGATGTAATATAGCGCAATATAATACTATAATAGCAAGCCCAACCCAGCAAGCATAGCCGCGCCAACTCAAAGTCGACACTGCAACGAGCCAGCCTCTGAGCTATGCAGCAGTCTTATCATATATAGTTGTTGTATGATGAAAATAGTGCCTCCAGGGACTATCATGTAACACTTACCTGAGGCCCTAATTAAACTAAGCCCTGAGCCCTGAACCTTATCTTATCCGAACCGGAAGGCAGCAGCATCTGCTCGCTGCCACAAGCCGTCCGACTTCCTATTCTCAGTGTACCATCCACAGGCGGCATCTTCCTGGTACTTTCTGGCGGACCCGTGAAAACCGATAGTAGAACAATAAGCCTTAGATTTCTCACAGTAGCCCTCATGGGAACCCTTAGAATCACCTGTTTAGACCCCTGGTGCCCTCGATCCGATGACCAGGCCTCCACGTGGCGGGTATAGAGCCTGGGTTACGTTCCGGGGACGCCTCTTGAGTTCAAAACAACTCGGGTTTGGGGGATTCCTTCTGTAAGGGTTTCGATAAGGTTCACATAAGGCTTCTGTTAGGATTCTTCAAGGGCTTCTACAAGGTTTGCAAGGGTTGTATAGAGAGTTCTAACGACGGGGCTGGGGAGAGCTTCTGAACAGTTTCACGTGACACGCTGCTTGGAGCTGAGCATGAAGTGCAAAACCCTACGTAGACATTTCCAATGAGGAAAAGGCACCTCGCGCAATAAACAAAACTGGTTCCCTCTTTGGGTTATACTAAAAGTGATCATGTTCAATCCCGATTGGGTTTTATAATAACAAACAATGCAAATGCTCACTCCCGATTAGGTTTTGTTATAACAAAAAATGCAAAACTGTAGCCAACAAAGGATTGGGTTTTATTATAACAAAAAATGCAAAACTGTAGCCAACGAGGACCCCGAAAATCCACCGAGCGGCTGCAAGGAGACTTCGGAGCGCTGTCGCCTCCGCAGGTCAACCACCTGGCAAAGGCACGATGTCCGGGTTTAGGGTTTAGGGGTTTAGGGGTTTAGGGTTTAGGGCGGAAGTGAAGTCTGTAGGATTTGGGACAGGCTTTACGGGTTTCGGGGCTTCTGAATATCAAGGTTGTCAGGGTTGGGGATGCAGGGTTTGGAGGGCTGGGGAGATCCTGAGTCGAAGAGAATACGATTTCAGGCTTCCGAAACCCCTACCCGAGCCCACTTAGCCTTTTGTCCCGCTGGGGGCTGTCCCAAGTCCTGTGCATGATAACCGTGCGCATATAACCTAAATCTTCGACACGCAACCCTCACTTCTAATCTCCGTGCGTTTCTCCATGAATCCCAAGACTTGTCCATGGTGCCCAAAGCAAGCCTCATCGCAAAAACCCGCAAAGCCCTCTAGCCACCTCATGAAGCACAGGTCCAACACAACCTATCAGTCTAGTGCTTGGGCGTAGGGTTCAGGGTCTAGGGTTTACATCCCCCCAAAACCCCGCAAAGGTAACCCTGGCATACCCCCAGCTGCCTCTGCCTTTGTCCAGTCCGTCAGCAGCCACGAGGCGGGCTCCACGGTGTCTGTTTTTGGCAGACCTGGGTCGGGTCTTGGGCTTTAGGCTGTTTTGCGGGTTGCGGATTTTGCTTTAAGGTCAAAGGATTTACAGGCCTTTAGTCATGAGATGTCATGAGGCTGTTGCCGGTGGAAGTCTATCCGGGATCTGGGGTTTGCAGATTCGGGTTGCGGATATTTGCGGGCTTTGAATCAGACGTCGTTGAGGGCTTCACTCGGCTTGAAGAATTCAGGGATCAACGTGTCAGGACTTTCGGGTTAGGGATTTGATTTACATGCACAGGGACTGCGATCACCCCGTACTTGCAAATGTTTTGCATGCGTGAATGACAGAGATGTAAGCTTAAGGGCTTCGGATTGTAGAAGAACCTAAGTTCTTAAGTGTCGGAATAAGTATGGCCCCTGAGATGCGCAATTAAATGAAGCTAGCGCCTCAGGTGATTATGTTCTGTGCCAGGCAATGCTTTGGAGCAAGCCTGCGTGATGTGTGCCACGATTCATGTGGCTCGTGGCTTGGAAAGTCATGCTTCCGGTGCAAGATCGTCCAGCTTGCGCCGCTAAGCGTCAACTTTCACGTCTCGGCTGAAGCTCCAATTGGCTTGAAGCGTTACCGGCCTTCAGGTTAACATGATGGAGCCCCAGCCGCCACTCGTCTGGCCAAAGCATTCCACTCCCGGGCCTTGAGGCCAGCATCACGAGCATCAGCAGCACTTCCTGCGGCCGAAAGACGCGACCTCGCGGACTCAAGGCCAGCATCATGAG